GAGAGAGAGAGAGAGAGAGAGAGAGCAAACTTGTGAAGGTTTGTCGCCGATGTCCATGGTTTTGTTCATGAGTTATGTGTACGATATCTTGCTCAAGGACACATCCCACGGACCACCCACAAGAAAGCTGAGGCACCGTTGTTGCTTAACCTACTTTGTGAACTAGTGTTTATTCGCTCCTCGATTAGTCGAGTAAAAATAGATCTAAATGTAACTCTCGTAACTGGAGAGTACTTGACATCTTTGGGTCACGAGTCTATTACAAGTAAAAGTAAATTTGTTCTCGCATCCAATCCGGACAAAGGGAGACAACTTAGTGAGACAACTTCCTGGGCCTTTGGCATATTGTGATAGGGTAGTCAGTTCCTTTCTACGCCTCCTTTACTTCCCCAACTCAAAGTCAGGTACCCATTACTGCTGGGTGAGCAGGAGGGGGCGAAAAATATCCATGTCCGAACCGAGGCTCAAACCCAGACTTTTCTTTTCGGAAACGAGCGCACTAACCACTAGGCCACCGCACCCTCTCTATTACAAGTATGCTTTTTAAAAAAAATTTGTAGAACAGTTGGCAGTGTACATACTTACTCAAGACAATAATTGAGCTGTGTAACTTATTCAAGAAGAAAATCCTTAATGGACATACAATACACAGATCTAGCTCATTCGTACTGTGGGATTTGATTTCAAACGAGGTCACAGAATAAACAACTATTTATATCCTCTCTTTTTACACCGATGAGCATTGTTAATGTGTACACACGCCCCCGCCTTAACAAATCAACAGTCATGCTGCTCTCAGTTCCGCTGAAACGGAAAACCCTTACTTCTATGTCCCCCCCCCCCCTTTTTTTTTTAGCTTTTCATGAACAGCACCAGAGTCTTCATAAAGGTTGCAAGCTTCGTGTTTTCTGTACTTCGGTTTTGGTTATTCGTGGGAAACGCTCCTAGATTAGCCTGAGGTGTTGACTTTGTACATCATTCATCATTTACACATTGTTCTAGGTATGGTGTCGTTTTTGTTGTTGACCTCTTTTGTTGTTATTGTTGTTGTTCTTGCATTGTAGGGGGCTGCGTTCTCGTGGAGGAGTTGCAAGAGATTCTTATCTTTGGTCTCTGTACATCAAAAGTATTTTAAAACTGGGGCGGTCCCTTTTGCATACAGCAAGAAGAAATCATAATTGTATAATGTTGCGGGATATCAACTGCAAGGGGATCACAGTAATGCATTTTAAAAAGTCAGGGAAAAGCATCTTTCTGCTTTGAAATCCTGGAGACAAAATGGGAACCGAAAGAACTTACAAGTTTTTCACACGAAGTTCTACACGAATGATATCTCGCACTAAAAACAAAACAAAACAAAAGTTCAGACGGATCGCTAAGTTTTCCTATAGAAATATTGAATCTTGCCCAATACAGTGCCGGATAAGGTCGACGGTTGTCTCGTGTTGAGAGAAATTTGGGGAACAGAACGTGAGTCATCATAAACAGTGTCTCTGTCATCACCGCCCCAATGACAAACTCTGTTTTATGAACGAGCAGGTTCTCCTCAAACACACACATCTTTTTTCGTTAAACAGTTTTACCAAGTTTATCGCACATAAATCAAAGATGTCTATACTGATGGCTTCTTTAGTAAACTCTATCCACCCTCGTAGCAAAGACAAGAAAAAAGACAACATGATATTATTTTGGTTAAACGATTGGCTCCAGTGAATAGTTTATTATATACAGATGAGACAGAATCGGTGTCTCTGGTGTCGTGGTTATTAAGTGCTTTGCCAGAAGACGTGAGTTCGATTCCCGAGTGCTAAGAATTTGTATTACGAGTAAGTAACTCCATCTTTCCGCTGGGACTTTGTATAAGCCCGGATTGGTCCTGAAAAGCAAGATCGAAGCATTCCGCATTCCTCTTCATGAATTACTTACTTAAACTGTGTCGATAAAGACCGCCATTTTAATGAAGGAAGAATCAACTCAGCTGGTAAATAATCATGGTGTCAGGTTTTTTAATGCTCTGCAATAAACCTCATTGTTTCTACTAAATCTGAGACAGAGGTTCAATTTATGATTCATGATTGTTTCTACAAGCTTCCCGTAATTTTCATGGTCACCAATCATCGATGTAGACAGATTATATAAGACTGCAATTAATTAGACAATTTTCAGTACACAGGGTGACTCTTACTCTCTAAATGAATCAAAGTTAACCTCTAGTAATCCCGTGGCCACGAGTCGTATTTCTGACGACAGCCAAATATCGGAAATACCGTAATACCTCGGCAAATAAAGTGTCATCAAGCAGCCGAGCCAATATTCTCTGACGATAACTTCGTCACCACCATTTAGCCATAGGTCTACTTCCAGCGAGGGCGCATTGGTTTGTGGAAAATGTAAAGATCAATATTTGAGAAAAAGAGATAGAAGTGCAATCAATTTTTCCGTTTGTCTTTTGTCAAATTGACCAAAACCGTTTCGGACGCAATATCGGCTTTGGGATGCTCTAGCTGCTTAAGTCAGGGCATGAAGGAGACAAATGTCAGTCAGGAGAACCATTCGCACGTACCAACCGACCGTTCCAACAATATCGAACATATATATATATACAAACGCAGACGCCCCGTTCGCATCCCTCTTAAGATCCCCAATCCCTGCTGATTCGGTGCCGCGAGTGCTCTCGCAGCTATGATCAACAAGGCCTTTGAACTTGCACACAGATCTTCACAGAACTGGATTGACCTGTTCCTCTCCCATTCTGGAGGTGGATGGTCACTCCTGCACGACTCGCCGACATCCCAGATGCGGGCCAATTTGTCCAACGTCAGTTCTTGCTTGAAACAGTTCCAGTCACTCCAACATAATGCTTACCCCTGAACGAACCACGGAACCTACATCAACAGACCAATCTACCCAAGCAGGTAGACTTCGTTCAGCTGTGAACGCCAAGCTTAACGTGGGAGTCTCGGGACAGCTGTTCGCGTGGTCGCGTCAGACGCTTCTGTTTTGCAAACAACTACGAAAGGACCTTCAGAAATCCCAGATATATGTAACTCGGCCATCCCATCCGCTTCCGATGACGACATCACCACAACTTTAAAGTAATTCCTAGCCAGCTCTAGCGGTGGTGTCGATGGCCTCCGTCCTAGCCACCTGAAAGATCTTCTCGGTCCTACCTCTGCAGAGGCTGACTGGAGACTCTCGATCCATTAAAAAACGAGACCATGTCACTCCATTATTAAAAGAACTGCATTGGCTCCCTGTAAAAGAAAGAATAATATTTAAAATCTGCGTCATGTGTTTCAAATGTGTAAATAAAACTGCTCCTTTTTATCTACAAGAACTTATCAGTATATATAAACCAATGAGAAACCTAAGATCATCAAACGATAACACCCTACTTGTGACACCTGTAAAATCATACAAATCATATGGAGAGATCTTTCTCATATCTTGGTCCATTTATGTGGAACAGATTACCCATGAAACTAAGACAAATAAAAACACTTGATAGCTTCAAAAGACATCTTAAACATTTTTTGTTCCTACAGGCCTATCCTTCATAAGCTTTTAAAGTTATCTTTCATTATAGTTGTTCTGTTCCTATGTCTGGATGAAAATAGTCTCTGTGAGTGTGTGTGCGCGCGCGCGCGCGTGTGTGTGTGTGTGTGTGTGTGTGTGTGTGAGTGTATGTGTATGTGTGTATGCATTAATGTATATTGCATGAGAAGAAAGGAAGTAGTAAGAAAGGTTTTTGAAAAATGAGTATTCCAAAATAAAGCGCATTGAGCTACTATTTTTTTTGGAAATGTGCTATATAAATGTTAAATATTATTATTATTTTATTTACTATTATTACTGCCCTCATCAACCGTATCCAGGGTACGAAAATCCCTGATTTAGCTGGACAGATGTTCTTCTCCCAAACCTTACCGCGTTAAGGAAAAAAGACATCGGCATCAGCCCGGTAGCTGTGGAGAATGTTTTCCGCAGACTTGCGTCTAAAGGGGTCTGCCATCCCGTAACAAAACGTCTCAGCCAGGAACTTACCTACCCCCAGTGGGTCCGGGGGATATAAATAGACCCACTGCTCCACCAGCAAGAGGTGCAACCCCTTCACTGGCGATTTGTCACCTATGGACATCTACGCTCAGGTGCACATGGGCGACACTTGTTTTGGTGTATCGTCTGTCTTCTATCGTCTTCCTTCCCTCTCCTTTCGTCCTTCCCCGAGCTGCCCGGGGAATAAAATAAAAATAGTTGGCTGTCCCATCACCAGGCGCTGGTGGGATGCCACTTGTACGTCACTAGCTCTCTGACGTTGGGATGGCATCTTTTGTCCGCTCTTGCTATGTCTTCTGTCCATCTATCTTTCTTTCCGATCTGTCGACTGAAGGTCCGGTCCAGCAAAAAATAGACCCCAAATCCCTGCAACGCGAGGCACCCCGTTGACCGTGGGGTGCGACCCGTACGACCGGAGAAAGGGACCCTGGTGGCTGAGGTGTGGCTTTCCTCACCAACACGCCACTTTGGCCCTGGATTCGGTCTAGACGGGCGGGTGCAGTGGCCTACTGCACTCAATCGGTTGCGACCGGTTCATAGAACCGGTTTTTGGCCAATCTTGGTTAGAAGGCAAGATTTCTTGCCGTCTCATTAGGAGTATACCCCCAGGGTAGCCCTGACACCAGCTATGGACTTCCGAGCGGTGTCCCCTTGTTGGACTCGGTGGGGGTGGGGAGCCCTGGAGATGAATAAAAAACAAAATACACATGGATTCAATCAAAAACATTTCTCCCACCCCAATTCCCCACAAGTTTCAGACAGGAAAAGCAGGTGCAACTTCTGGCCTGGGCAAGAGAAAGAAGGGCCTTTCGGGCGAAGATGCTGACCATGTCAGCATCTGGGACTTGCCTAAAAGAACATCGTTGGGGTGATCACACAAGTCACTGAAAGATTTCGGTATATACAAACCAAAATATATTTAAAAACTAGGATCCACGGACCTCATGGTACAAGTCAGTTCAAGCATAGAATCAGGCAAACTGTTGGCCTGCACCTCGTTTGGTGGCATCTCTGTATGTGTTCAGCCACACAGAAGTCTGAACACATCCAAGGGTGTCATCAAAAGCCGGGAGCTCTGCGGCTGTACGGAAGAAGAGATGGTTCAGGAGGTCGATGGAATTGTCCACGCTCGTCGTATCAAAATCCGGCGGGATGGCAAGGAAATCTGGACAAACACGTGGATCCTTACCTTCAACACACCCACATCACCAACAAAATTAGACATCGCATACTTACAACTCGAAGTTAGACCATATATACCGAAACCGATGCGTTGTTTCAACTGTCAGCGCTTCGGACACACACAGCTGCGCTGTCGTGGTGCAGTGTGTCCTCGCTGCGGCAAGGAAGGACACTCTGAGGAGACCTGCTCTGCAGATCCCTGGTGTCCAAATTGTCGACGGAGTGTCCGAAGTGGTGTCAGGAGAAAGCCATCCTAACACATAGGGCCCAGTACGGCGGAACGTTCGCTCAAGCAAGAGCATCGCTTTACCCAAAGGGATCAACGCCGAAGAATGCAACAAAAACATATTCAGAAGTTCTGAAGACTGTCCCAGGGTCAGTAAACCCAACCCGAAAGGTCCTTCAGACATATAGAAAGCAGAACACCAGCAAAAAACAACACTCCAGTCTGGAGACAGAGGAGGACATGGAGTCCACTTCCTCCCGTCCTATCTCTCCCACTCTCCATCCGCCATCTCCCCTCACCCCCTTCATCATCCTCACCCTCATCATTTTCATCATCACCCCCCATCATCATCTTCACCCACAACATCCTCACCATCATCATCCTCACACAAATCACCACATCCTACACCCTCATTGCTTCAACCTCCATCTCATCATCCTTCATCCAATAATGCCCCTCCACCCACTCCTCTACCCGCATCCGGGACTCCGGTCCTCCTCCCCTTCCACACTCTTCTTTAAAAAAAAAAGCTGCGGTCCACCGTGACCGCAGCAAAACAAAACAAAGACGAAGGTCACCTACGACTCCCCCAAAAATGTACCGAACCCGTGCCCTCAAAATAAATAAAAATGGCAGTTCTTCAGTGGAACATTCGCGGTTTGCGTACAAACCAGGCAGAACTCTCTTATCTTTTGACCTCACACACCCCAAATGTAATCTGTCTGTTAGAGACTAAATTGCCAACACCCACATTCACATTAAAAAAACTATCAAACTTACAACCAAATATACACCGACAACCAAATGGCCTCTGGGGGCAACTCCATTTTAATAAATAACCAAACACGACACAGACAAATGCAACAAAACACAACACTTCAGGCAGTTGCAGTCAGGGTCACCCTACACCGTCCTATAATTATCTGTTCAATATACATCCCTCCAAATTATCCTCTATCTTTAAGAGAACTAAAAATCCTCAGAGACCAGCTCCCACAACCCTTCATCATGTTGGGAGATTTTAATGCGCATAGCCCTCTTTGGGAAAATGAACCAACTGACACTAAAGGTAAGATCATAGAAGATTTCTTAACACAAACCAATACTAGTATTTTTAACGACAATTCCCCAACTTTTCAAAATTCAAATAACTTAAACTTTTCATCCATAGATTTAACTCTATATAATCCAGATCTAATTCCACACTTTCAGTGGTCGGTCCTGGACGACCCACACGGATCGAACCACTTCCCCATCAACTTAATTCCAGACATTCCACACCGAACTCCTATCCTGGACCGTTTCAATCTTAAAAGAGCGGACTGGGATGGGTTTCACATGGAATGTCTGGAGAAACTCAATCCATCTCAAACACAAACACAAACTTTTGAACGATTTCATGAAACCCTTCTCGAGATCGTTCAAAAACACATACCAAAATTATCCACCAAACCCCGAAAAAATAAATGTTGGTTCACTGAAGACTGCCAAAAAGCTGTTGCGCCAAAAAATGAGCTCCCAGGAAGTTCACCAACTCTAAAACAAACGAAGACCTCATTAATTTCAAAATTGCGTGAGCCCAAAGCACGCAGAATAACCAGAACAGCCAAAAAACATCTTTTCGAAATTATGTCTCTAAAATAAACAACAACACACCAATGCACAAAGTCTGGAAGATGATAAAGAAATTAAAAGGTACTAAAAAGACACAATCAAACACATCCTAAAACCGAATAACTCCTTCGTAGAAACCGAAAAAAACAGTAGTTGACTGTATAGCATCAACTCTCTCCGGAAATTCCTCTACCCACAATTACAACCCTGAATTAAAAAAAGTAAAAATGTCTTCTGAAAAGACAACTCGTGATTTTACCACTTCAAATGAAGAAAACTATTGTTGCAGCTTTTCTCTTTATGAATTAAAATGTAATATTGCAGAACTATCAAACACAGCTCCAGGCCCTGATCAAATACACAACGAAATCATCAGACGTCTTCAAGACGAAACACTTCTATTACTCCTTGATATTTACAATGAACTCTGGCATTCTCAACAATTTCCGAACAGTTGGCGTCTTGCCACTATTATACCAATCCCAAAACCAGGAAAAGGACACTCTAACCCATCAAACTACCGTCCCATAGCCCTTACAAACTGTTTCTGCTAACTTATGGAAAAGCTTATTAACAAACGTCTAATGTGGTTTCTCGAAACCTCAAACTCCTTATCCAATTTCCAATGCAGTTTTCGCAAAAATCGCTCTACTATTGACCATCTCGTCCGACTTATCCAATCCTGAATGGGGAGGAGATACTGAAATACTTCTTCAACTTTACCGTTCCCTTGTCCGTTCCAGGCTGGACTATGCCAGTCCTGTTTACTGATCAGCCAGAAAGTTTTACCTTAAAATTTTAAATTTTAGACCCTGTTCAGAACCTTAGGCGCTTTCCGTACTTCACCAGTAGAAAGTTTACAGGCAGAAGCGCGTGAACCATCTTTAGGACTTAGAACGAAAAAACTCTCTTTGCAGGACGCTTTGAAACTTAGCTCAGTACCCCAAAACCCAGCCCACTAATGTGACTTTGGCCTTCCCGAAGATCTAAAAACTATATCCTCATTAGGAAATAAAGTAAGCCCTTTCGGAATAGGAATCGAGAAAGATCTCAAAGACATTGATTTTTCTGAAGACATAATCGAGCCCTTTGCCATGCCCAGCATACCCCCAAGGCATTTAACCAAACCAAACATAGATACTAGTCTTGAAAAACACAACAAAAAGTCTATAGACAAAACTAAATACTTAAGTATACTTAAAAAGAGGAAAAAAAACCAACAAAAAACAAACAACAAAAACACAAAAAAGACAACAACAACAACAAAAAAAAACGAAATTTTTTTCTCCCAGGGACTTTGAGTTCATGCACATAAAACTACAATCATCATAATGTTGGGGTTGCTAAGTGACGCGATAACCAGCACTATGGCAACAGTCAGTGTGGTACAAATGGCCCTAGCTGTGGTAATCATTGGCCTTCTGGTCAACTGGTTCTTGAAAAGGAATTCAGTCAAGCTACCACCTGGACCCACGCCGTTACCTTTTGTTGGGAATCTTCTAGATGTCACTGGTAAAGGTTGACACCTGTGTGTGTATGTGTGTGTGTGTGTGTGTGTGTGTGTGTATGTGTGTGTGTCTGTGTGTGTGTGTGTATGTGTGTGTGTCTGTG